GACAAGTTGCTAAAAGTCTTTCCTCCGCTGTTGAACTCAGCTTTTTAGCTCCACTAGAGGGCCACATTATCAAGGAGGTGCTACATGACTTATGCATTGTGTTCAACCATTGAGTTAATAAGAAGCGCTGCTGGGAAGAGAACAAATCTCAAGCATCAGCTCTTCTCTGCTGCTGATTTAAACTTGTGGTACACATGGAACATTGGCTGTGGATTATACTTGCTGCTCTTTTCTCTGGTAAGATAGAAAGATCAACATGTTTCCTCTTCAAACATTTGAACATGTTACTGAACTCTACAACAAGAACTTTGAATATTATACAGGAAACCAGAGATCCTCATTTCTGCTACCATCTTATAAAAAAACTTGATATGGTTCAAAATGATGATGATCAGTGAAAGTTCCATTTATTCTACATGGAATAAAACTCTTTGCAGCTGCTGATTGTTCTCCTTTAATCAATCATCTGTACTTTATGGATCCCTCTTTATGTTCTCTTCTTGATTTTCCATAAGGGGAAGAAAAAACTGATTCAGCCACTGAAACAGGCACTTAAACTTTAATACGGTCTTTGATAACAAATTTCTTTCTTTTTTTGGGTTTTAGCTGTCCATGATGAGGAGTCCAGTTTAGAAAGCAGCACTCTCACTCTGTCCCACAATAAATAACACCCAGATGATAAAAAAAGAACAAACAGCGGTTGCAGGTGCAGGACAGATGATAGTAGCATACATGCTCTTTTGTACGAGCTAGGAGACAGGGGATGCTCTCTCTAAGGTAAGCAGTAGATGACGTGGACACAGGTGCAAGTTGGGGGATAGTATTTTTATTTTTTTTTGAAAAAGGAGGTAGTTGACAGCTTTTCACGGTTAGACCACACACCCTCAGACATGAATAATTTCAAACACAATGGTGGCAGATAAATGTCATGTAGAGCTCTGATTAGGATTCTCCAAATGTCATTTTCATTTGTTAATTCATTAGGACTGGACAGTTTTACATCCATGTATTGTGTAACTGTATTCCAGATTTCCAGATGATATCCAGCAGTCTGTGCTGACGATGAATCTCTTCCTCATGCTGGATTAATGTGTTTTGAAAGACTGAACATTTCTTCAGATAATTCTTGACATTTGGACTTGCACTGAAGTTGCATAATGGTAAATGTCTCCTGCTTTACGACAAACTGCCTCTCCTTCTGACTGGTACAGAGTTCCTCCTGTTCCTCTTTAGTCTGTGGATGCTCTGGGGTCTCGTGGTCCAAATTGGACTTCATCTCTTGGTTACAGAGCTGCTGCTCAACGAGAATCTCCTCTTTCTGACAAACATTGTGCTGTGGGAGGTCTGGAGGGACAAAGAGAGCAAGAAAAATGTTATTAATGTGATAACAGAAAAACACACAAGCATTTATTCATCTATGTTCTTCCTATTATCCAGAGTTGAATTGAAGTGGCAGTCAGCATCCCTCCTCCCACAAACATTTTCCAGTTCTTCCTGCGGGATCCAGAGGCGTTTCCTAAGCCTGATGACACACTGTATATGGTCTTATCAGTACATTTGACACCAGGATTTCCTCCCAGCTAGACTTGATGTAAAACCTCCAAACGAAGGTGCCCAAGAGTTAAAAAACACACATGTGAGAAAAAGACTGGGTAAAAGATCCAACTGCAACTTTGTCATGCAGATAATTTTTAAAATCAAGCTCTTGGTCAGTATTCACTTCCAGAGAACAACAATGCATGCTAATTATACAGAAATAAATCTAAATGCACTCAAGTGGCAATCCACTTTGATTTTTTAAATATATTTCAAGAAACATTTACATTTACTTCATAGTTTACATTAATGGTGAACACTGACACTCCTGCCATAATTAAAAAACAGACCCAACTACAGTATCTACAGTAGGTTATAGACTGAGAATAATAAATTCTTTCCTCTTTATTAGGCTCACTGGCTCATTACCTCACTTTTTTTTTTTTATCACTTATGTGATTTGATCAGTTCCATTCTTTCATTATTGTCACTCCTGTAAATATCTTGTATTTGCTCACCAAAACTGACAGCCACTTGAAATCATCTACTTCATACATCAGTGATATATTTACTTCTACAGTTGCTTGTATTTGGATCAAACAGTTACAACATGTGACTACACAGAACTGTATGGCCGTAGTGAGTGTGTTTTTGTGAAACTTTATTGTTTCTTGTGACCAAATAACTGGAACCAAACAAATGTTGTCAGTTTATAGTTCAACCTGGTCTGATGTTTAGGATGAATATAGACAATACTACATGTTGCGGCCCCTGGTGTTTTTGTCACTTTGTTATGTGGACTTGTGACTCTTGTGTGTGGAGATGACTTGTGTAGGCCCAGCTGTAGCTGGCTGAGAACTCGCTCCAGGACACCAGCTGCCAGTCATCTCAGCTAATTAACCTGGAGCTGAAGACCTACACCCCAGCCTTTGTTCTCCCCGCCTCCGGTCCTGTGTGATTGGACCACCACCACTCTTCCTCCACCACACCTGGCTATAAAACCAACCAGCAACCTTTCAGTCAGGGTTGGCTGGGATTTAATGTGAACAGTCAGTCCTGGTGCCTCTTGCTCTGTGTCTTTTGTGCTTGTGTTAACGTAACTTCTGTTGGCAGCTGCTAACTCGGTGTGGGAGGCTCAGTGGAGACTATGATTCCCGTTAGCAGCTCCGCAACTTAGTGAAGAAGTTGTTTGTGTCTTGTGTTTTCGTATTGTGTGTTCTGAAGCACAACTTGTTTTAGTTTAATTTGCTATGTGTGCATGTTGCTTTCAGATTTAATTGTGGTAAATGGTCTGCACTTATACAGCGCCTTTTTTTTTCTACCTTAGCGGTACCCAAGGCGCTTTACAATGTGTTTTGCATTCACCCATTCACACACACATTCACACACCAATGGTGACAGACACTAATTGTGGCTAAGGAGTTAAGTTTTGTTTTCTGTTAGCTAGCATTTGTCACTCTGTTAGCCTTCGATTGGCTCTTGATTTTTAGCACAATCCACCCTCTTCTTTTGTATTGTCAGTTATTTTCATTTACGCTACTAAGCAATAAATTGCTTTGCCTGGGCCACTTTCATCTGGTTTTCTTGTTACATCCAGCTGACCCTCGAGGCTGGATCGTAACATCCGGTACTGAGTCCAGTGGTTAGGCTGTATGTGTTTGATATAATATCACTGTTTATATTTGGAAACTAGTGTGCTTGGTTGTCTGTCTCTAAGTTTAGCCCTGCGACAGACTGGTGACCTGTCCAGGGTGTCCCCTGCCTTCACCCTAAGTCAGCTGGGATAGGCTCCAGCCCCCCGCGACCCTAGTGAGGATTAAGCGGTGTGTAGATAATGGATGGATAGATATTTAAAAACTAGATTTTAATTTGCATGATTTTGAAAGTTGTTGTTTTTTCTAATGTAAAATAATAAACAAAACATGTCTTTTTCATTCATCCTTTGGGCTGCAATCTTTAAAATATAACCCTCATAAATGAAACCACGTCATTTCAATTCATTCTAAACATTTCAGTCACAACATAGGAACTGGCAGGTGAAAATCTGGATTATTTGAGTTGAACTGTTTCTTTAAAGCCATGTCAACAGGTAAAAAACAACTGGACTAGTTACAAAGGAAGGCACAGAGCAGGTACGATCACTTTGGTGAGAGAGTCAGATCTTCCAGAAACTCCAAACCCCACAAGTAAACGTCCTGTTGTCCCGTTAGCTTGTCAGTTTTTAGTTATTACAGCCATAACTCAACTGAACCTGCCTCATGTTTCACAGTGGAGATGCTGGTCTTTATGAGCGAAAGTGAACTTTTCCTTCTGAGAACACAGAGCTCATCCAACTCACCACAACACTCTCATTTTGTTTCAGCAGTCTGAAGGACGTTCACCACGGAGAATTGTGTCTTTTCAACATAAAGGTGAACAAACTTTAGATTGTCTTCTCTCACAGTCACTGTAACTGCCAGAGCGCAGGAATCATGAAGTCTGTTGAGCAGGCGGAAGAGTTGAGGTGAAACTACAGATCAAAGAGGAGATGGAGAGATTCAGGGAGGAGCTGAGCTGTTACTGAACTATAGAAGAGATACAAACTTCTAGATTCAACACAGTTCAAAACACAAACCTCCAACTATCTGCTGCTCAACATGCTGTCACTGCATCACTGTTTGTCTTCTCTGCTGCTTCTGTCCATTTTAACAGGTTTGTTCATTTAACACACATGAAACACTGTTATCGATATGTTCAATACGACTACAAACATTGATTTATCCAAGATGTTGCTTTGCTTTTAGTGTGTTTTATATTTTCCATAATGTGTCTCTATGACTCAGAAGCTTCTCTGTTAAATACAATCGCAAGAAAATCATTGATTGTAACTTTTATATTGAAGTATAACAGAGTTATCTCTTCCTATAGGTGTCAGATGTGAAGAACTGACTGCAGTGAAGGATGAAGAGTCCAGTTTAGAAGGCAGCACTGTCACTCTGACCTACAACTACATCAGACAAGTTGCTGTAAATGATTACTTCTTCTGGTACCGACAACATCCAGGAAAACCTCCAGAGTTCCTCATCTTTCACTTGGGAACACAAAATGCAACAGAAGCTGGACTCTCTGCTACAGTGAGTGGTGATAAAAACCAAATCACTCTGAAGATCTCCTCTGCTGCAGTGACAGACTCTGCTGTGTACTACTGTGCTGTGAGGCCCACAGTGACAGGAAACAGCAAAACTCTGAACAAAAACCTTTGGAGCAACAACAAGAGAAAAGTCCACAACATCCACTAGAGGGAGACACACTCTGTTACTCTTGTGCTGATTGTTCAGGATTCTTTGCAGTGGTAAGAATAAAACAGAAAAAAGTCAAATAAGCAAAATCCTGCATCATTTCACACTGTCATGAAAGATTTGCAACCAGTTTGTTAATGGAGACCAAACAGCATTGGAGAAGAGTAAAACCTTTACACTAGTCTACGCTGTTAGTCTGGCGAGGTCACACAAAGGGGGGTGGAGAAGAGAAGAATGAGTGAGCTGGGTGGAGCTTACCAGTATCTAATAAACCCGACAACGCCACCTGGGGACTCTCACTCCAGGAGCACATCTCTCATCAGTCATTTATTTCTGTTTAACAATAAAATTATTTTAAAAAGAGACACTTTAGGAACAACTATTCAAGTGTCCTGGTAGTGCCACAAACCACCAGCCACTCTTGAGCTCACAGCAACTACCAAACCGGTGTAAGATAAGGTGCCCCAGTGCTCTTACTGCTTCAAGCTGTAAAGGAAAACCACACTAGAATGTCTAACCTCCACCACCAGTCGGCAACTGTGTCCACAGAAGGAGATAATTGCCACGAAATCAGTTTCCTCAATCTTAAATACAAAATATGGCTAACACAGTCAATGCAAGACAATGCAAGGATAAATGAAGGCCAACCAGCAGCCGATGAAACCCTACAACACAACAAAACACTTTCCACATTAACAGGCTTATAACATGTTATTACATATAACAGCAAATCACCTTTAACTGTCACACTCCTGTTAACTGCGGCACAAAACATGCCATACCTTGGTGTAACTGTCTTAGTTGTGCAGACTTGTGGGGAATCAGCAACATCCACATTACATCAAGGCTGGCTAACTTGGCAACACAACCCTCAGCCAAACAGACACCAATATGAGGCAAGAGAGACTGTCCAACAAATAGACGTCATCATCATGTGCATATGAAT